CGAAAGCCAGTTTTTCTTCTTATTTTCGGAAACATTGTCAGAGTCAGAAAGCACGCTTTATTAAAAAGTCGTACCAAATACAATAATGTCAGGAACTAAGGTTTTTTTGAATTGGTGCGGTTAGTTCGTAAAGCGTGGTTTCCCGGTTTTACCATGTCTCTCGCATAATACAATAAAGCTTAGCACGAGTTCTTCGTTTTCTGATAAGACCAATTCGTGAATTTCTTCCGGTGCACTTAACCTTTTGAATAAAAACTCGAGACACAATAACTAACCAAGGGCTTCTTTAAAACCTGGTCTTTCCTCCTATTTATTCATTTTTCCTACTCATTAGCCAGCATAAATAAGTACACTTATCCACTTTTGTTCAGACCGGATACCAAAATGAGGCCCTTCATCGCCTGCTCTTCGAACGACGCCGCCTATCGTCTCCATACTGACCCTGAATCAGGCTCTTGTCGCTCCCCCGCATTGGAGACAAAGACCCTCGTTGCGTCAACTCCAAAGGCCACTCGGCCGACCGATCTGACACCGGAGACCAGATCATCGCCTCCAGCGGAAGAGAGAGTACCTCTTGGCTCTAGAACGGCTCAGTCGGCTCGAGAAGATACTCGTGAGCTCATAAGTCTTCCATTCGTCTTTTCTGAGGTCGCCAGCTCCACTGCTGTAGCCTCCTCTTGCCTTCATCTGCGTGTGCCTGCCATTAAACAGGCTCGCTCTGTCCTTCTGTTGGCTCTGGAGAAGCTTGGCCTTCCGGTGGCCGATTGCGATGCATTCTGTTTGGCCGAGGTGACTGTGTTTGCAGGCTCCAGTTCACCAAGCGGCCGCCGCAGTTTTCGATACCATTCGCTCATTGAAAGTCCAGTCCGAAGGGACGAGCAACAAGATGACGAGACCGCCGAGGAGACGAGCAAGTACCGGACGAGGCGAGTAAATGCAGTGGAATCCAAGAAGATGAGGAAATGGAGCGTCCAGACGGTGAGTGAAAGGAAGGATAGAGCTGAGGAAAGTCCAATACTGATTCCCTTTTTGCCTTCGTTGTGGGCGAAAGATGCAACTTGTGCACAGGAGAGACGATCTGGTAAGGAGCGTGGCACCTGGCGATGGAGCGGATGCAAAAACGCCCCTGCAGGACTAATGGACGCAGCGTTTAGTCAGACTATGAGTGAAAGAGGTGGCCTCCGTTCTGAAGGAAGAGTCGAGAAGGAGACTGGGCTCATGACTGAGAAGAAGCGACTGGTGAGGGACGAGGCTCGTTCCCGTTGGCAGGACAAGATCGGCAGGCCAAACCAAACCTGGGAGACGGGATGGCGCGAAGAGCCAAAGGACATGGTCGACTCAGAAGGGACTTACGAGGGAATTCTGAACTCAGGACTGGTCATTCGACAAAGAGTGGTGCAGCCAGAGACTTTTAATCTGGCGAGCAGGTTTGTCCATGCCTATTTGACAGATATCGTTTTCAACATAAAGTTGAGCTTTAAGGTATGAAGACCAAGATGGTGTGGCCTTCTGTGTGGTCGCAGTCTCCTTTCGTTGTGTAGAAGCTGTTTAACCTTGTTTTCGCAACATGGTCATATTTGTAGGAAGAATTAGAGGAACACACATAGTCCGGAGTCCATTGTATGCATGATCATTTCCAAAGTTGAACCGTGGACGTGGTACATTCCCAAACGTTTCGCCGGCGTCGTAGTCGGAATCGTCACTGAGTATCGCCATTCTTAGCACCATACAACAACTCGTCAAAGAGGCAAGTGTAGCCGATCCTTTGACCAAATGTGTGCTAAACAATTGTGGTACCTCCCCTTCTGCAATGGGTTATTCGCGTTTCCTGTTTCATCCTATCATACCTTCACTATTACACTTTTATCTTGTTTATTTAGATATAGTGCAGTGTGCTCCTTTGAGCAACATGAAACCTTCACACTCCAACTGTTGTTCTCCCCCCCCTTTCATCCTTGTGTAGGGAATGTTAATCAGAGTCTGCTTTATTATTATGCAGTCCTCTTTCATAGTCTTATCCCAGTCTCTCTCTCGCTCCGTAAAATCCGTCAGCTCTACCCCTTGTTCACCTAGTTTACTCGAGGCGTTATTCGCCCTACCCTGAGTCTGGGTGACTAATTTGCGGCACAAGCCTCTGAGTGTCATGGTCACCCATTTGATACATGTACCACGCCTCTGAGCTGTAGTGAACGATGTTGTTCACCATAAATATGCACTCTGGCTTCGCGATATTGTAAAGGATAAACAGACCTTGTAGCGAGGAGCAGGAAAACGAATCACGGATTATATTATATAGAAAAAGAAAGGTTACAGGTGAGGATACAATGTGGAAAAGCAAAGACTATGGCGGAGTGTTGTGTTAGCGCAAGGGAGCAGGGTTTGATGACAGAGCGCCAAAATGGCTCACAGGGAGCGACTGAGAAGCCGACATGGTTTAAGTAACTTGTTGCTTAACACATTCTTGTGTACCTTGAATGTCACATTCTGATTGTTTCAACCGAGAAGTCGATACGGTGACTAGGTTTGCTTAGAAAAGTTGAGTTTCGGGAAATCTCTTGTTTCATAATTGTTGAGCTTACTTCCATTTCGAGTGATAGTGTTGGCTAAAAGGCACATACACTTACAAAGACAGACACACCCACAGCCATCGAAGTTGACATATGACTTTAACTAACCAAATCACTTTATACTTGATGATGTTCGTCATATGACGGAACCTCTCACCTCTCACCTCTCACCGGAATTGAAGGAGATTGCCTCGGAAACAGCGTCAACACGAATGCTTCAGTAAAGCCACTCGACAGCTTTTCAAAAGGAATGCGCCGTCGTCTTCTGGTGGAACCGACTTTCGAATATCTTCACCCAAGACTTTCAATCGAAATGGAAGTAAACTCAACAAAATAAGTTCGCTTAGTCCCCAAAGTAAATAGTGTCGATAAGTCATGTTTGAGTGATGTTTCGCGAGTTGAGAGATAGCTGCTTATGGGATGGTTGCGACCAGACATGAAGACAAACTACTGTGGACTAAAAGACATTACAGATCCTGCCTCAATAGCCAAGTGGTGATGGTAATGCTGAGTAGTATAAAAAGTGAGCATAGGCTTGACCTCCTTTTCGCCACTTGATTCTATTGTCAGAGCAACTTAGATAGAGACTCTTGGTTAGAATTCCTCTGTTAAAGCAGTTATACTAGGAGTGACTGGGTTTCGATGAATCCACAGACATAACATTGCTGGGTAGAGCTTCATTTCGATTGAAAGTGCTTGAATAAAAGATTCATGAATTGATTTCATCAGAAGACAACACAGCCGTTTGGCTTCTATACGACTTTTAGGTTGACGCAGTCCACGAGGAATCCTCTCTTGTGTCGAGTGAAAAAGGTTTGAGTTTTCGTCTATCATATGATGAGCAGCATCAGACTTGGAACTTATTCTTGTAAAAGTCTCAAGTTGACACTAAGCCAAGAAGACTATCCGGCTCTATCATACTTCTTATATAGACTCATAAAGAAAAATGAAAATGGATAGATATATTATTGTTTAGCTAATTATCTTTCATACTGGTCCTGCTACTTTTTCTCCAGTGTGTGTGTGCGTGTGTCAACGTCTATACCCAATACCGGTCCCAAATCATAGTGATGAAAAAAGGCTAATTTCAGGTTCTCGTCATCACGGCTTAATGACACAAGTAAAAGACCTAACAGAGACTGCGTAAGTCAGTAAGTATGTTTGGAATAATAATATTTAAGTTTGTAAGTGCATAAGTCAACTTGCAGAATCACTTGTCCTAACCCCTCAGTCTAGGGTCATTAAGGTTTAACCACCCAAAGAAAGGCATGACTGCGACTGCGTAACCTCGTACGTGAATGGGTCATGTTATGTTTGCTCCTGTGGTTGACCTTATGTTTGTGTGACCTAACGGCCCGTTTGACAAAGTTTGGGAAACTCAGAAATGCATGTAAAGTATGCTGGGTCCATCGATCATAAGTGGCCGAGCAGAGGGGCCAGAGGCTCAGCATGTGGTAGAATGATTTAAAACTAGTAGGTTTGCTGATCATGGTACATCTGCTGTTAAACGGAATAAAAGAGAGGCTATTGAAATCAATAGAACAGAAGATACATTGAATGCGATTGAAAGATTGAAGAAGAGATAGTGTTGAGCCGCGAACCAAAAGAAGATGACTCAACTTGTTGGCTCAGTAATGATTCTAACTTCACTCACACTCGTCCAAAATGTTAGATTAAGCTCATCAACCAAACCAGACGTACCAAATTACTTGGCCATATTCATGCCTTTCCTTGGGTTGTTAAACGTTAATGACCCTAGATTAAGAGGTTGGGACAAGTGGTTCCGTAACTTGACTTACACATTTACAAGTTTACATCTTATAATCTCAACCATACTTACATATGAACTTACGCAGTCTTGGTGAGGGCTTTTTTCTTGTGTAATTAAGCCTTGATAACCAGAGCCTGGCATTAGTCTTTTTTGATCACTCTGATTTAGGACCAACATTGCTTAAAAAGATTAGCACACACGCACACGCTCTAAAGTAAAAGAGGCATGACAAATACGAAGGATATATTCACCCTATTTTGTTTACGGTGCTGAAGGACTGATAGATGAATTTTTCAACAATGATATGAGTAGAGATGACGTTTCCATTGAATTCCACATAGCCTTGCTTTCCCATAAGTTGTTTTCATTCATGGTCGAAGGCAGTTTCGACCACGCATAGGTCTTATCAACATTCCAAGCGTAAATCGAATGCATCTCATATATCTGATTAATTGGTAGTCTCGAAAACCTAATCGATAACGAAAAAAATAATGTCACCGATTGCTATAACAAATATAAGTTTGCTTCTTCGACAATCCCACCACATAAATTTATATGGAAAAATGCCTGGCCTTCCTTGAAAATCTTATCTGCCCTGAGACCCAAGAGCACTCGTGATAGTGGTTAACGCGTTGAGTTTACACGTTGCACTGTCATGGTTCGACTCCCGATTGAGGTGTTGATAAGACCTATGTGAGGTCGAAACTGCAGTCCACCCTTGATGAGAACACTTTTCGGGAA